AACTACGGTAGAACTTTCTCCTTTGTTGACTCGGCAGTATATTACAGCGGCATACGCTTGATTCGAAGCATCGCAAAAACCATGTAGTTGTACCTGTTCATCTTGGTTTATCCCAAGCCATCTATTTACTTCTATGGTATGGATTTCCCTTAGTTCTCTTCTCAATTTAGACCACTTGGTTTCTATTTCTTCTGGTAAAGAATCATCCCAATTTAGGTTGGATAACCACACAGTTTGAAATAATATCTTCATATTAATGCTCAAAGGGGTGAGCCATCCTAATGGATCGAACAGTTTTGAAATGTCCGATAACAGAGACCTTTTAGTTAGTTTTGTTGTTACTTCCTGGTCTAGTTTGGAGTCAAATATAAATTGATCTTTTTGTGGGTTCCAAGCGAGACCTAAAGTTTTGGTGGAGTCTGATTGTTTGAACTCATACGTTTGCTGGTTACATAAACTTTTATCTAGATCTGATAGAAGCCGAGGTTCGTTCGATGCCCATTTTCTTAAGTTAAATCCCCCCTTGCGGAGTATTTTTATAAGGTCTAGTTTTAGCTGGTTTGCCTGTTCTATTGAATGTTGACCTCCACAGTAATCGTCCATGTAGAAGCTTTCTTCTAAGGCCTTTGCTGCGGTAGGATAATTTTTCTGTTCGGCAGTTGCTAACTGCTTCAAACACATCATAGCTAGAAATGGTGCTGGCTTCGTACCATAAGTTACGGTAGTAAGCTGATATGTTTGAATAGGTTGGTTTTGGGTGTTTCTCCATAGTATTTTTTGGTATGGTTGGTCATCGGGATGCACCATTATTTGTCGGTACATTTTTTCAATATCCGCCGTGAAAACATACTGATACTGTCTCCATTTGAGGATAAGTTCCTGAAGATCTTGTTGTAAATTTGGGCCTCGATATAGGATATCATTAAGACTTAATCCAGATAGCGACCTTGCCGATGCATTAAACACGACACGTAGCTTTGTAGTCGTTGACTCCGCTCGAATTACACTGTGATGCGGTAAATAGCACTCAGGTGTCATGTTTGTGTTTGATTGTTTCATATGACTTAATGTAATATATTCATTCATAAATAGTTCGTATTCTTTTTTCACTTCCTGGTTTCTTTGCAATTTTTTCTCTAGATTACGAAACTGTGCCAAGGCTAATGGTTTCGTGGATCCCAGTAGTTCCTTTGAATCTGATTTGAATGGTAGCCGAACTTGGAATCGGCCATCTTTAAGCCTTTCTGTGGTTGATAAGAAAAATTGCAAGCACTCCTGGTCTTCTGTGGACATTTCATATTGTTGGTGGATATCTTCATTTTCCCAAAATCTGCGCAAGTCATCTGTATTATGAAGAACAACATTGCAGTTGTATTGGGGTTTCATTGACCCGCAAAGCAGCCATCCCAATTGCGTTTGCTGGGCAATTGGTTGATCCTCATCATCTCCTCTTAAAATGCCACCTAGCATTATCTTGCAGTATACATCGGCTCCCAGAAGTAAATCCACTGCACGGCTGATATAGAAATCGGGATCCGCTAAATTAATAGTTTGGATGTGAGGCCACGATGGTCGAACAAAAGTTTTATTTGGTAAGCTTTTAATTAGACTTTTCATAATAAGTGTCTCTCCTTCCAGTGCAAAGTCACTGTAGATAGATTGGATGCGAATGTTCATTACACCTTTACAACTATTTTCTTTTTCCCCGATGCCAAAAATTGATCCTTTGCATTTCTTTCTTTTTAATTTCAAAATTTGAGCAGCATTTTCGTTTATTATTGATATTTGTGATCCTTGGTCAATCAAAGCTCTCATGGTATGTTGAGTGCCGTCTGCTCCTGTCACCTTGACGATTGCAGTTGACAACAAGGTTTCGGTCACATTATTCTGAGACACATGAGTGGTTGAGAAGTTGGTTGGTGTGGTCTCAGCTTTAGGATTTATTTTTGCTGACGAATTTGTTTTCGATTTCATCATTATTCCTTCATGCAATAAAGTGTTATGGCTTGCGTTGCATTTGCGACATCTTTTCGTCGAAAAACATTGTTTATTAAAGTGATTAAATAGACAATTTACGCAACAATTTAGTTGATTAACCGTTTTTAATTTTCGTTCATCCGACATTTGTAAAAATTGAGCACAGAGCCATAATCCGTGGTCAGCATTACACAATGCGCATATTATTGGTTTTGAGACATGCATAGTCCTCGTGATATTTTTCCCGTTATAGAATTTATTGTTGTTTGAAGATTGCTGATGGTTGTTAAATTGAAGAGTCTTTTTCTGGTATGAATGGTTTTGAGAGATGGTTGATTGGTTTTCTGATAATTCGATTCTTGTTTACGCCTCGATGCCTCTAATGCGGTAAATTTATTTTCCAAGAAATCAAGGAATTCTTGCAAAATAGGTAAAGCCCTGGGGTTTTTTACTGACTCCATGTATTCGGAGAACGACTCAGTATCTAATTTTTGGGTTAACAAATGAACCAAGAGTGGGTCCCAGGTGGAGATATCTACGCCTAGATTTTGTATAGCGTGCAGACATTCTTTGGTTACATCATGCAACTTTTTCAACATTCCCATTGTTTGGTTTGACATGTTTGGTAAGTTCAATAATAAATTAAGATGGGATGTAAATATAAGCCTCTGGTTACCGTATCTATGATTAAGTATCTCCCAACATACTTCATAATTTTCCGAGCTAATTTGAAGATGGTAGATCAAACGCTCGGCTTCTCCCGTGATTTTACTTTTTAAATACTGCATTTTTTGTGCATTCGATAAAGATGGGTTTTTGTGTATGGTTTCAGTAAATAAATCTTTAAAAGAAGTCCATTGGTGGTAGTTACCCTGGAAGATTGGAATATCTATTTTTGGAGTAGATTTATCCCGATGTGTTTCAGACCACATTTTCGAATTGATGGTTTTCTTCATTTCTATATAAATTTTTTCATGCGTGCTAAATTCATTTTGATACCACATGTTTTCATCGCCGTCTTCGCCTTCTATCTCCCAGTGCAGACTATCAATGACAGTCCAACGACTTTGAAGACATTTCAGAGCATCCTCAAACTCCCATTTGTTCTGTAACTTCTCCACTTCAAAAGTAGCTACAGTTCTCTCAAAGGCTCTAAAGTTGATGGTTTGCTTTTTGATCATGTCACTCAATTTGCTGACACGTTCTACGCTCTTCGCATTAGTCTGTGGTTGGTTAGTTTTAGAATAGGATACGCTCGGCGTTTGGTTTGACGCACTTGCCTCTGGAGGCAGCTGGTAAACTCCATGTTGCTTAGACAAGAGATTTTCCATGGTTTTCGTAATTAACATTTTGGCAGTCAAATATACTTCTTCGGCCTTATCGAAACAATTATTAATAAAATACACATGACCAAGTTCAGCGGTTTCACAGCACTTTCTATGATTCCGTTGATAGTCTCTCCAGTAATTTTCTAATAGCTCTAATTTCCTCTTACAGTAATCTATGGGTTTCCTATCTTCTCCATCTTTCTTGAAGTTAGTCAAGAATTTAACTAAAGCGTCGTAGATCTCGGTTTGGTTGATAGAGAGTGCCTCCATGTTAAAATGCAAAGACAATTAAATGAATTAATAAAATGGTTTGGTCTGACCTTATATTCTCCTTACGATACAGCTCCACTCTCGATGTAGCGTTCTCTGATGATGTGCACTGCTTATTATCTCTATCTAATTACTGGTAGTAAGATCCCGGATTCACAAAACACTTTCGAACAGTACTTCCGAATTGTACTTCGCGACCCGAGATCCGGCTCGAAGGACCATGTAAAAAGGTGCGTCACTACGTACGAAGCGAGTCCCTTTTTATAGAGTTTGCAAGTTATTGATTATCAATGGTGAGATAAAAAATACACTAAGTTATGTTTGATTTAAGAATATATTAAATTCTACAAATGATGGTTTTTTAGGGAACAGAGAGTATAGTTCCCTAAGATCGGAAAAGGAGGATCCTCCGACCAGGCGAGGTGATCGTGCCTGGCGGGCTTTCTGCCCAACAGTTGTTCGTTGGGATTTTCTATCCGTGTTTATTCGCGTGTAAACTTTGCATGTGCGATGTAGGATTCTTGTGACGTCATGTGGCATGCGTCGCCACATCACTCCCTCCCAAGACCGGAGGTCGATCCCGCTGAGACTGCTGTCGATGCTTGAGATGAGCGGTGCCAGAGCCAGTGTAGAACGTCCCTAGTTCCAGTGGGTCGGAACCGTGCCGCTGAGTGCCCAGTGAGTCGGGTGAGCGGTGCAGGGTGAAACTCCAGTGAGTCGGAGAGATGAGTTCGCAACTGATTAATACTAAAAGATGATTTGATTTGATTTGTACGAGTAGACCGGCGATTGCGTACTACTATTGAACGTAAAATTCGATGCCTTTTATAAAAGTGTTTGTACGTAAAATGCTGAGCTGTTCGGTTGCGTTGCTCCGAACAACGACCATGGCTAAAACGAAATAAATAAAATTTAAAGATACAATTTGTAAAATCCAATGGACTTAATGTTGATCTATTAGCCCCTGTATCATTTTTTATTTAGGACAACATCATAATTTTTCAACTATTAGGTACGAGTCTTCCGTATTTTGTCAATTAATTTATTTTTGTGTACACTGCACTACTACATTTTAATTCAATGCACCAAGGCCTCTGCCTGAGTATGAGTTTCTATTACGTTTAAAGTAATCGAAACGAGACCGCGTTAGGCGCTCTGATTGGCTCGTATTGGTCTGATTGGTTGGTGGCCTTGGTTCTCTGATTGGTCGGCTCTAACGAACCAACCAATCAGAACGCCGAACGTAAAACAAATTCTAAAACAGAAATCTGAAAATGTACAGCAAATATAGTCACAGTAACTAAACCATTATTGACAGCATCAATAAAAGTAGGCTCCAAAACTTTAGCCTTATCTTTTTGAGGTATAAAAACCTAAACATAAAAAGTTAAATCACATTTTGCAACTAATTCAAAAATGCATTACCTTCCACCCTCGATGCGTAGTATGTTTCAAGGCATGTAGATCAGGCAGAGACAGTATGGGCTGCGGCAGGAACAGGCGGTGCACGAACTCTGCGCTCGGCTGCAGGATGTTGGGCGCCGGCCCGATGGGGCATAGCAGGGACATTACTATCTTCTCCCTGTAATAAATTTAAGGTTTATTGTTAAATACAATTACTATACTATTAGACTGCCTCGGTTGCCGAGTGGTCGCAAGTGCGACTGCCGGGCAAGGGGTCTCGAGTTCGATTCCCGGGTCGGACAAAGTATTACTGGCATTTTTTTTTAAATCTCAGTAGCAGCACGGAGTCTGGAATATAGCAATAGTCTCGTATATGGCAATAGTCTCACCCCCTATTACATGCGACTCATAAGACAAGTAGTGAAAAGTGGGTGTTACTTCTGTGTGCACCTGTGCCTACCCTTTCGGGGATAAAAGACGCGATGTTATGATTATGAATTACTATACTAATCTATCTATTTATTGTGACAATTTTTATGGCGAATATATATTCTTTTTTTATGGAATAGGAGGCAAACGATCAGACGGATCACCTGACGGGAAGCGATCAGCGCCGCCTATAGACACTCGCAATACCAGAGGAGTCACAAGTGCGTTGCCATATATGGCATTTATGACATATTTCTGTTAGGATTTTTCGAATTTTGTATGTATAGTTAAATGATTTCACTATAGTGAGCAGTTACTCTCAAGCATTTAGAAGAAGCATTCATTATTAAATCACTAAAGTAATATTATGTTCCGCATATAATCGAAGCTTGTTTTAAGAAAAATATATTATGTTAATTAGTATATATATATTACTATTCAATTTCTCAGTTTTTGTTTTTAAAAACCTTGTAAAATAACTTACCTGAACGGATCAATAGGTGGGTTGGTGACTTGAGCAAATAGCTGCTTGAAGTATTCATACGGCAATGGCTGGAACTGGGACAGGCAAGCCAACGGGGCATCATTACCCATACTGCCCAGAGCTTCTTTTCTGAAAGGAAAGTAAACTGGTTAATATTTTTGATACACACACACAATATACATAACTAGCTTACTGCTCCTACTTTCAAGAGAAGTAACAGTGGTATTGTTGACCCGTGTTTTTTAAGATTTCGTTATAATAACGTATAGGCCTGCCATTGGATAAAAAGGGGTCTTTAGTGCGACGACCACAGGTAAATATGGTAAATACTGCAGAACATCAAAAGGTTACAGTTCAAGCTCGGTAGATTGCATTCGATTTTTTTAAGGGGGGTAATCATCAAATGACTACTCTCGAGATGGCATTCAATTTTTTTATGGGGGGGTAATCATCAAATGACTACTCTCGAGATGGCATTCAATTTTTTTATGGGGGGATAATCATCAAATGACTACTCCCGAGATGGCATTCAATTTTTTTAAGGGGGGATAATCATCAAATGACTACTCCCGAGATGGCATTAGATTTTTTTATGGGGGGATAATCATCAAATGACTACTCCCGAGATGGCATTCAATTTTTTTAAGGGGGATAATCATCAAATGACTACTCCCGAGATGGCATTAGATTTTTTTATGGGGGGATAATCATCAAATGACTACTCCCGAGATGGCATTCAATTTTTTTAAGGGGGGATAATCATCAAATGACTACTCCCGAGATGGCATTAGATTTTTTTATGGGGGATAATCATTAAATGACTACTCCCGAGATGCCATTAGATTTTTTAAGGGGGGATATAATCATCAAATGACTAATCCCGAGATGGCATTAGATTTTTTTTAAGGGGGGAAAGTCATCAAATGTCTACTCCCGAGATGGCATTAGAATTGAGTTCTTAATTTTATGCAAAACAAACAAAAAGTCCTTGTTTAAAACAACATTTTGATAGATTTTTGTACCACAACTTGTCGTATCATCTAGAAATAACACTTACTTGTTCTGTATCATAGGCAGTAGCAACATGTTGATAGACTCGATAGTGTATCCGAACAAGCCAAGCCTCTTGTCCGAGAGGCCTGTGATCACTCCATTGGCGTGGCCGTTCGTACCATTCGATACTACGGTACCGTTGTCTGATGCCACGGATTTGTGGATGTCTTCCATTGTTATCTAGAATTGTAATGCTTATGTAAAGTGTGTTTTAATTGTAGGCAATAAGGTTTGAAATGTTTTAAAGGATGTTTAAGTGACAGTTTCTTTTGTCTATTTAAAAAGGTCTGGGTAGTTAGGTAGATATAAACGCAATAAGTAGTTTATGGATTAGGCTGTATGGTCGTTGCATTTAACTCATACATTTCAATTGTCATAAAACATTTTTGTTTAAGAATTTAAGGTGCATTCCTTGGCACTGCCTCGTTGGCCGTGTGGTCGCAAGTGCGACTGCCAGTCAAGGGGTCTCGGGTTCGATTCCCGGGTCGAGCAAATGTTACTGAGTTTTTATAAAAATCTCAGTATCAGCACGGAGTCTGGAATTGTGGCCGGTATATGGCAATAACCTCACCCCCTATTACATGGGGCTCATAACATAAATAGTGAAAAGTGGGTGTTACATTGTACAGTGGCATAATGTGCACCTCTGCCTACCCCTTCGGGGACAAAAACGCGTGATGTTATGTTATATTATGATGACCTCAAGTTTAACTTTTTTTTTATTTAAAAATGTTTTTTACCCTTTAAAACATTTCATACAATATTTCTAGTCACTAACAACTACAACAACTAAAATATACCTAAAAAGCCTCACTTAGAAATTCTGAAAACGTATAAAGCTAACACGACGCCCGTATTGGTCCTCTCAGTCGTGGGTTTAAGGTTGAATATTGCTTAACAAAATTACGTAAAACATGAACTCAATGTTAGATGAAGCTGTCTTTATGTTATACATGCATTGTCCATTACGGAGTAAAGTACGCGATTTGCTTGTTGTAAAGTAAACACAAAAGTATTATGCGTTAATACAAATTGCTATTACTATGTATTTTCTAAGCCATATTTTGATTTAGTTTACAAACTATGTTCTGACAAGATCCTAATGGAAAAACATTTTAATTCTGATCTGGGTGCTTACTCTTGAAACCAAACTCGATAAAATAAAAATCTCAATAATTATTCAATGTCTAACTATACACAACCCTTATCGAAGCTGTTGATATAGCATTCAGAGTACGGAAAATAGAGCAAAACTCAATACCATTTAGTTTATTAAATATCCACGCAATTTGGATGTAATGGGCTCTAGTGTTGCAATTCAAGAGTACGAAATCTCACAATGTCAATGTCGATTGATCGGAATTGGATTCAAGAGAAAGCCTCCTGTGTTTGGTTATTTGAATATTTTTGTGATTACTTATACCCAAGTCTAAAACAATATCCGTTTCTTTTGGCTAGACTGTCCCTCGATAGTATAAGGCAAGATTTCAGTATAATACCCTGCCTTATTCATTGAGTAGTAATAAAAATAAATAGCAATTTCGAAAATCCTTCACGCCCCATGCGTCTAACCAAACTCACCATCTGATTACATGTATTAATGATATCCCCACGTACGGTAATGCATAGAAAAGAGAAACAACAGTTAGGTATGTTGATGTGTTCGTATAATTGTGGTATTCTATCGCGTTTTGTTATTGCAAAATGAACTCAATAACTATTCTATAAAACAGAATTTATTTTCTATGACTTTAGAGTTATAGTACAGACAATAATAACCTTTATCATATTCATCATAGAGAGTTCATTTTGCAGTACACAAATCAAATGAATATTTGTAAAAAAAAAACGTCAAGAAAGTTCACATAAACGTGTCACCAATCACCATATTATTAAAAAAAGGGTAGTAATGAAAGAATAGATAAACATAATATAGGTAACAGTCATACAAGCTAAAATTTAGTTTTACCTTGTCCCTAAGCCATTCGGAATGAGGTCGGCTTCGTGCGATCTCCATCTTGAGTTCAGCATCCTGTACAAGTTTCTTCTCAACGGTGTCCACCAACAACATACGGCCGGGTTTTAGACGACTCTGGAATATTCGATAAAGTTAAATTAATCATTCATTTCTCTATTTATTTATACCACAAAATACAAAGTTTTGAAAACAGTGAGCTGCGCGACATCACCGCGACCGCGCATGCTGCTCATGAGGAAGAACCCCTGTGAGGCCCTGTGGTTCGAAACTAATAGATCTTTACTCAGTATTTTCACTTGAGTAACCCGTAATTTTTAGTTTATTGAGTGTCTCACGATAGTTATTATAAAATCAAAGACAAACTTAAAATTATTATAATAGAGGTTACGCTCAGAGGCATGAATGGCATGATAGTGTCTACTACAGAATCGAACTGATAATAAAAATATTTTGTAACTGCCCTGTGAACCCAAAGGCGACTTCTGAATGGCATATACCTCGTGGATGGTTTGTACTATTACCTGGAACTCACAGAACTGGTTAAGTCGAGCTAATTGGGTGTAACATAATAAGTTTCTCTCACCTTGAGAATGACCTTGTCAGGGTCTACATCATAGACTCCGACTTCGGAAGCCATGACCAGCACATTTTCGCTCGTCACGTAAAAGCGGGAGGGTCGCAGGCCGTTTCTGTCCAAGATGGCGCCTGGAAAGAATACATCATAATTTGTTGAAGTAATTTGAAGTTATAAGGTAATGCAATTACAGCAGGCGTTCTTAAAAGGTTACGAGTCTGACTGATTAATGCAACTAAAACATGTTTTGAACTAAACGAAATATTTTTAAACATAAATGAGTTTGTGCTAAGCTTTTTTTTGCCCTTAATATAGTAAATCGTTGGATACACATACACACTGAGTTTCTTTAGGTACTTTATATTTATAACCAGAGATGTGTATGTGAACTTGTATATTTGTAAACGCACCCACGACACAGGAGAAAATCCTAGTGTGGGGTAATGTTAAAAAAAGAGAGATGAAGGAAGCTTAATATTTTTACTTTATGTACAAATGTGTATACAATGGCGGGCTTAATGCCGGATGGCATTCTCTACCAGCCAACCATAGGGTGATGCAGAGAAGTGTTACAGTAGGTTATAAACGAAGTTTGTTAATATGTGCAAAAGAATCGTAGTTGAGACTAATGTAATCCATTTAACTTACCGATATACCGTCCATCAGTAAAAGACACAAGAGCAGGTCCGTCCCAAGGCTCCATACAAGACGAGGCCCACTGGTAATAGTCCCTCTTTTCCTTAGGCATAGTGACGTCATTCTGCCAGGCTTCGGGCACCATCGTCATTACAGCTTCTGGCAGCGACCGCTGGCCAGCATGGAGTAGGAACTCGAGGACACAGTCCGCTGAACCGGAGTCAGAGAGATTTGGCTCCACGACTGGGTAGAGCTTTTTGAGGTCTGTAGGTTGAGAGATTGTTATGACAATTGTGCTTTTAAGATATTGTGAATAAAGTTTAGATTAGGCTGATATGTACGTGTCCTTTATTTTTATTTGTTTTTGTGAAACATTTGCATTTGCACAGTAAACATGTTTGTAACTAGTTACTAATTTTGGATTGCTCACCATCGCCAAAGATCTCGCTCTTCATGACACCTTCGCGAGCCTTCATCAGGTTGACGTTACCTCGCAACGTATTGATCTCGCCATTGTGAGCGAGGACTCTGGAAAACAAAGAAACAATCGTCAGATAAAAATTCCATAACGTTTCCAGTTTCTTTCTGTGCGCTTTTACAAATCGCATTTCGGTATTGTAAAACTTTATTACGGGTATGGTCGGATACCAACCTCAATGGATGTGCCCTCTCCCAGCTTGGGAAGGTATTCGTGGAGAATCTGGTGTGTACTAGCGCCAAGTAGGTAGTGAATGCTGGGTTGTTCAAATCCTTGAAGTACTCCTGCAATAAAGAAAGGAAAATGTTCAATACCTATCATATTCATTATCGATATTTGAAGATAATGTAGAAGAAACTTTCTTTCCAAAAGTGTCGAACACTATTCCTCTACGAACAATTCGTACTCTTCTAATCTTTACAATTTTATTTTGATTTCAATAAAGGAAATTTTCGTATGTTGCCTAACGGCCATTTTCTATAACCTATCTATCTCAGTAGATTTGCTTATATATATGCTGCTATAGAAAATGGCCGTAAGTTGATAACTTGCTTACCCATAGTTGCTGCGAGGTCAATAGTCCCTTGTAGACGACAGTCTTGAGTGCAAGACTGCAGATGTAGAACCTGGCTCCAGGCACCACCAGCTCATGGGACGCACGCTTGCGGAGCACGAATATCTGAAAGCAGGCGTTTACACTACACACCTAGAAAATACAGCGAACGGTGGGATGCCTGTATGGAAAAGATGGCCCTCATATCTTGCATTAAGACACCTTTTTCATTGATGTGGTAATTGTGTTACGTAATTATTGGTCCACTTAGTGTGACATCCAGCTTTTGTATACAAGCATCCCAAAGGGATTATGAAAGGGTTTGTAAAATTTACGTTTGGCACGAAGTGGTCGCGTCCGGCCGGCCAGTGCGCACGCAACGATCTGAAAAAACACCTATAAGAGTTCCTTACGTCCTAGTACCGCGCTTACACTATAACAAGAGAATGAATTTGCAACATGCAACGTTGCAAGTTCATACTCCCCATACCCTCTCTCTCTCGCTCCGGTTAGCTCCGTCTCGTTCTTACCTGTCTGGCTAGTTGTTCGTCGTCGGTATCTCCGGTAACAAACACTTGACGCATATATGGCTCCGAATTACGAGCCACTTGACCTGAAAGCGAGCCAAAACAGCCCATTACTAACTTCACCAAGGGAATGTGTCAACTTTATTCTAAGAGAGTTATATCTTATTCATAAGCACATCTTCTAACACCACTTAATGGCAAACCAATTGAATTGTACGTAGAAATGTCATAAATGTTGAATGCAATTGTACTTGTGTGTAATTGAACTGAACTGATGGCGACATTTATGACAATCTGAATGATGGTACACATGATTACATTACCATTTAAGCGTTATTAATGACAATGGCTAGACTTGTGCCTAATCGATTTGTTTAACTTAAGATTCAACAAAAACTGATTTGTGGAGAACATTAAAATAAATAATACATAGCTAATGTTTGTCTAATGAATCTCAAGTTAAAGTTTTAAGTTATACTAAGAAATAATCAGAATATTTTTAGTTTTATACCACTATGTGTACTGTCCAGGCATCAAATTATAATATTGTGTCTCTTAATTATTCCATTGATTGATATCATTTACTTGTTTGTATCCTTCGATGCGTGCGACAGTACGTAAGATAAATATTTTATTATAATTATCCAAGAGTATTCACATCTTTAGGAATGTTGTATGACTATTTTGTATCGTTGAATAAATGAAAACATACTAAAAGTTCGACTGTGAATACTCTTAGGAAAAATTTTAATTTATAAGAATTTACTATGCGTTGTAGAATCACTTAGGACATGTAAAAAGTATTAAACAACGCCGTAACACAAATTGTCTGTGCCTAGTTACGTAATTAAAAAAAAATTGACACTAGAAATTTGCACTACTGCTTCTAGTGAGTCAACAACGCATAGCTCCGAATCTAATGTCAAATCGAACAAACCGTTTGGTCAAGCATCGCATGACCGCGTTCAGCCGCGTTTAAACGACCCGACATTACTACGAGAACGACCTGGAATGATAGTCGCAAACAAAAATCGCAACGCCGAAACTGGCCTTATATCGAGCGAAGAACTTAAATGGACAAGTCGTCAGTGATTGGCGGGACAATATAAATGATAATGCCTTCGAACCTACTAAAATTATACTGAAAGCCTTTTTATCATTTTCCAATAATAGCAGATATAATAAATGCGTCACATATCAGGATCCTTGTGCCGAGGAAAATTATGTCGTATCTATAGAGTGTACGGTTCATAATGGAAACATTACGAGACATGGAGCCATACAGCCAATCGTTCCAATAAGATTTAAATTAAATCAGTGATTGTTCTCAACTAGTCAACTATTCCCATTGGCTGTGATTACTCTGGCGCCATGTTTATTTAGCAGATAGGTCCTGACTTCTACATCCTATTTAGCCATTGTATCAGCTTCATCAAAAAGGCTCACAGTATCTCTCTCAAAATTGTTGTATTCTTGACTATATCTCAAATTTTGAATTATTAAATAACTTATGTTTTGAAATTGATACATAACACATTTAACAAAATAATGTTGTTTTGTAAATTGTATCTTCTATATCACAATTTTTGTTTTAGCACCAAAAATGATGTTAAAAATAAAGGTAACAAGTTAAAAAGTTAAATAATATGTAGAAAATTGTGTCAAGGCAGAAAGTTTTAATAGCTTGGCAACTTAATTTACTTGCTTACTTTCAAAAAGTACCTTGGTTCTTTAATTCTAAAAGTTAATTTTATAGTTTGCCCCTTTTAGAAGTAGCACAAAGGTTTAGTACTTTTGTGGTTATGCATGTAAATTAGTGCTGTCACATTGCTTAAATGTGTTTTATGTTGGAAAAAACTAACAAACAATTAATATGATTCTCGTTGTAAAACTTCCAGATGATTTATTACAGTTTGGCTAACTATATTAGGCATCATCCGATTGAATGTTTTACTAATATACGGACACAGATAACAAAAAGCATGCAATGTGGCCCCATCAAAAATGCTTTATCCAAAATTATATATTTTATCTATTTCCATGCATGGAACCCATGAGACATGATTCATATGAACTGTTAAAACAAGCTCAAATTTCACATAAAATGTCCTACATGTTCTAACTATCATTTGGTAACAAATTCCAAGGTATCTTACCGATGGTGGAGTTGTTGGTAGGGACTGTACGCCAGCATAGTACAGTCAGTCCAAGGCTCTCGGCCAGTTCACCGAACTTCTTCTCAATTTCCTGATGGTGGAGCTTGTCCAGGAAGAAGATGCCGGTGGCATATCTACCGAAGGGCGGCAAGTCGATCTGGTGAGTGTCTCTGGAATTGAGAGAATGAGGTTTATTTATGTGTATAATGTCCTGAAAAATTTAATGTAATTGCTGTGTGATTCGTATTAATTATGGTTAAACAATATGATATTTAAAAGAATTAAGTGAATTTGTATGCAATTTACGTTCATTGACTACTGTTTTATTGGATAGAATTAGATTTTTATTAGCCCGTGCCGAGAGCTGATGACATATTTTGAGAACATGTGCAACGAAGTCGGTTAAAACCAAAATGTTCTAATATTTCATCAGCATTATAGAATCTTTATTTATCAAAGAACTACAAGTAGCTCAAGTCAATTGCACAGTAGGTATCATTATTGTTAACATTTTTATTATAGTTTTGTTTATACATAAAGTTTACTTGCGTCGTATTCCGTACGACATTCCGATAACTCATGGTGGTAGTTCACATAAACATAAAAACCGGGGTCATGCTTATACATATTTTATCGTAAAACTATGTGGTTTTCATATCGAATTGCGTCCTTCTTTAATACTATTACGTGGCCACTGATAGTATCTATTGCAAAATAATGAAATTCATGGTGTAATTTTTTTTTAAATCAGACATCAATTTGAGAATACTACCTACAGATCATTGTTAATTAGGTTATTCCGTGCTAATCTTTGTATCTAGACATGATAATTAAAAGGAAGTATTACGTTTATCAGTCTACAAAACTCGATAAAATCAATGAATGAATTTGTTGAATCATCTTGATAATCCTGTCTAATCGAACTAGCATAGGAAACGTCCGATATGTATTTCATAAGAACAATCTACAGTACACTATCCAGCATCATATTTCATGTAATATCTGTGATCACGTGAAGGTCACAAGGACGTATGCGCGCGCATCTACGTCACAACCAGACCGCAATATTGACCAACAAGCTGAGCTGCCGGCTGCGCGGTATTGCCGGTACCCTATCATAGATAGTGCAAATCTAGGTACCCTGCGTCATGTGTGCAATAATTCCACGTCGATACCTTTAGGGCGGGTCCCTTCAACTAGTTATCGGTAACGTTATTTTCCCGCTACCCGGTAAATTCATAAAATTCAATTTAAAATGGTTGTCACTTTTGTTTCTAGGGAAAAAATAACTGTTTTGTAAAGGAATATTTCTAAGAATTGGAACGGAAAGTCCCCGATATCAAGTAAGTTCTTCAAAATACGGCTAACATTGAACGAATTGAGAATGTAACCATGTAATGATTACTTACTTGTAGGTAAACGAAGTATAAACAGGTCCCGCCAATGTATGCGCGTAATAAAAATAGCAGATGGCAAATAACCCACAAAGAGCTATAGCATGGGTATGTGGAATATCTACTTCATTAAGTAGATTAGTTCTATTATTGTGCACTTATTTTTATCTTCATATAACTGAGAGTCTTCTCATAACCTTATAGCGCTATATTGAGATAGGTCCTTAGGATATTTGCTAGGTTTATTTCTCGATGAATCCCCTCACATTATACTTGGTGATTTACATCTTTTGGTTACCGAAGGACCATGATCTGTGCCTTTTCCCCCTCGGTATAGATGAAATTAAACGTATAACTCCCCTAAATGCTCTGTAGATGATCGACGATGAATGATCAACGCTTCGTTAGGAATTTGGGATAACAATTCGTCGAATTATTTCGGACGCTCTAAAAACGCGATTGGAAGCCATTGTTGCCAACCATTCGATGGAAATTCAATTGTCATTACATATTATTGGTTGATTGATTTGATACGAATATTTTCTTAGATTCTTGATTCTTTGATTCTGTATTAATATACTTCAAGACAAAACTTGCTCTTTGTAATTCTTTATGACTTGTGATATTTAGATCAATCAATTATTTAGTACCAATATTGCACAATTACATATTATTCCTAGTCTGCAAGTGTAATGTTTGTTTACAAAACACGACAAGTACTTTCAGCTATACATTCTTATTGTACCAATGTCTTGGTGTAGTTCGACAGTTTGCCAATAAGAATACTGCAGAAAGAAAAAGACAACATAATAGGGATAGCGTTCCCTGTAGTTGTTCAAGCTCTGTCACTCTCCTAAGTGCTCTAAGTGGAAAATCCGAAATGTCTCCACTGCAAATGGACGTTCTCGAATTTCAAAGGCCAGTGTTGACTTTGCTCAACAAAACCAATTGAACGTAAACTATACGTAGAAAGTTTCTTTCTTTATTATAATCATCTTAGTTTGACCAACGATACTGAAATGAATGATAGTGCACCCGTATAAGCCCGTATACTATCCCTATTTAATCTCTCGATCCCCCCGCCAAATAAGAATATTGAAATTAGTATAATTTGTCTGAACTTGGAATTTTTCAAGTTTTAACTTATCGTGTTCTTTATCCAATCTATTTATTCATCTTCTGTTAGGTCGTCCTCTTTCCCTTTATCCATTCACATTTAAATTCAGTACTCGTTTCTCTTTAGTAGAGACTAATTCAAGTAGATAAGTAATATATTAACTTTCTCTATTATATTTGAAACAATATTTGGTGCAGTGAGATACTCAAGGTTACTGGTGCGTATTCGGCAACAAAACGCGAACATCCGTTTGATGATAACGCTCTCGTGAATGAGAATGACGTGATAAGAGTAGAATAATGCTTTCTCGGTACTATCACGTTAGAGAGAATATTTTATTCTAATAAAGAAAATGAAGATAGGTAGCTTTGAGATAATTTGTAGAAGTATCGTAAAAATGTTCACAATCAGTGCAAAGTTCAAGGTTTTACAAATCTAAAACCCATTAAATCATTCAATATGGAAAAGTATCAAGCATAAACGGAAACATATAAAACAGTTGGAATTTCTGTCGTGTACAAATTGCATCAGCTTACACAAACAACATAAATTCAACATCATGATGTACGGAATCCAACCACGTGACTGCGCACATGGCGTGATCACTGTCCGCAGTAAGATCAGATCAGGAACACTTGGACAGCTGCCAAGATGGCGGACAAATCGGGATTATTTACTACTTAGTGTCGCCGCGGACGCTGAACTTAGGTACATTCGTGATTAGGTTATTAATTACCAAAATCTGATTGCATAACGTTTATGCAGATGTAGCTAGTTAGCTTGTAATCAAATAGTCACTAGCCGGGATGAGTTAGATGAGTCAAAGAAATAAATTGGAAGATGGTAAATCCGAAATTTATTAGACATCTTAAGAGGTTATAAAATTCAATGAAATATTTGTGAAAAATTACAATGAATCTATAAAATAGAAGTGAAGGAAAAACAACAATTGTAGATGTTTTATTTGAACAACTGCACGCCTACGAAATTATACGTCAAGCAGTGTAAGCATCGTAAATTTTTCATTTTACGAATAATTTTAAAAATATGAAATTCAGTACATTATTGTCAGATAAGAGGAAAAGACTATTTAATAGAAAATACACATGGTTTATTTGCTGCTGGCGTAAATGTAGAACCCGTATTTTCGTCCAATCACAGCAGCTGTCAAATAATGAACGTCCAATAATGTGACACTAGCTAATTCTTTATTGGACGAAGAACGAGAGGTTTTCACAAGCGTCATCTGGTGACCAAAAATACGGTAGGCCCCATTATGTGCAGTGTGCAGTCCTTTAATTATAAATCTCAGTGCCGATCAAATTGGTGCTGGACGAAATGCGCTACCAAATTTGAAAGTCTTTTTCCAATACTTGGATGAAACCATGTCCTAAAGGACACATCTATCAGTCCACCTGTTTTGCATAGATAACAGCAATAAAGTGTCATTCATTGACGTAATCGAAGTTCATGGGAGTCAATGAAATCGATACAACATTATGTTCAGGTTATCGCAGCACGGTGAGCGTTGAACGACCGACAGCTGACCCAGATTGGACCAGCTCCGTAATCAATATTTATAATAACACGTAATTATGAGGGAAAATAAAAGTGTAGATACTTACTACCCACGCAGTAATTAGCTCGGGAAAAATAGAAAAGGTCGAATTAAATAGAAGTCTCATATCGTGAAGGTTTCTTTCATTAAACTTCTCAATTTAATAATGACGTCTAGCGAAACTTCAACCTAATTAAGTATCCACTTTACCCCAGACAAAAGCCTTTGGCAAAGCTGCTACGAACAACCTAGGACATCTAAAGAGCCTCATTAAAAGTTACCGAAGCGTAAAATTACAAAAAAACTGAATCCAGCGATGCAAAGCCCACTTAATTGTGGAACATTTTATTAAATGTCACGGCAGATAAAATAGGACCGTACTCCAGGATGGTAAAGGTCAAAGTTGAATTAAAACGTGCCAAGATTGCACGAGGAGTATTAAAAATGTTAGGGTACTTACATAACTTATACGAACAGTACTTTTATAGCAGTAAATATTTAATGCTAATAATAAAATTACGGCGAGGATAGTCGAAGAGAATACTTAAAATATTAAGATTAAAACGACAGACATGGATAATACTGGAAACGTGACAATTTCCTCATGCATTCATCTGGAGACTATTCTAAATTGGATACGAAGTCTAATAATAGATGGAAGTATAGAACAGACAAGTCCCAACTACACAGATCTGCAACCCACGTACGAATGGAAAATGGATTTTAACGTGAACAGCATGCCTTTTCCTATTGAGAACATGAGGACAAATAACAACAGTTGTAAAAGTTTATCACCGAGAGTAATAAACAGGAAATTGTTAGAGTAACATTTATAATAGGAGAATTTTTATAGCTGATCGAAGGTTGCAGAAGAAAATACTTGAACTTCTATAGTATCTTCTTCGGAATTTATTTAAAATCCTTAAGCAAGAAGAAATATAGTGATAGTGGGTGACCTCATATAGATAAATAGGATTTTATTCAAATAATATTTGGAATCAGTCATCAGTCATCGCCCAGTAATTCAACACACCGTCAATGATCTAATATAAAGTTGTGAGGGCGTTGTTTTTGTTTGAATTGTGATCATCATGTTATAAA